AGAATTATGATGTGCTACAGATACCTGTATCTTAATTGAAAAAGATATGTAACTTATCCCCTTTTGACCGGGATAAAAGTTATATAACAATGTTTGTTGTATTCATATCTATCAGAAAACAAATGATGGTCCCGGTCAATAGGGGATGGGTACCTAAAAAAGGCCCATATATCCGATATATGCATGTGTATGGAATATTTAAAGAGAGTCATGTATCTTTTTTTGATAATATATGTGATTTATCCCCTTTTGACCGGGATAAAAGTCATATCAAAATGTTTGTTGCATTCATATCTATCAGACAACAGATGATGGTCCCGGTCAATAGGGGATGGGTATCTAAAAAAGGCCCATATATCCGATATATGCATGTGACTGTATGGAATTATGATGTGCTACAGATACCTGTATCTTAATTGAATAAGATATGTGACTTATCCCCTTTTGACCGGGATAAAAGTTATATAAAAATGTTTGTTGTATTCATATCTATCAGAAAACTAATGATGGTCCCGGTCAATAGGGGATGGGTACCTAAAAAAGGCCCATATATCCGATATATGCATGTGTATGGAATATTTAAAGAGAGTCATGTATCTTTTTTGATAAGATATGTGACTTATCCCCTTTTGACCGGGATAAAAGTCATATCAAAATGTTTGTTGCATTCATATCTATCAGACAACAGATGATGGTCCCGGTCAATAGGGGATGGGTATCTAAAAAAGGCCCATATATCCGATATATGCATATGTATGGAATTATGATGTGCTACAGATACCTGTATCTTAATTGAATAAGATATGTGACTTAACCCCTTTTGACCGGGATAAAAGTCATATAAAAATGTTTGTTGTATTCATATCTATCAGAAAACAAATGATGGTCCCGGTCAATAGGGGATGGGTATCTAAAAAAGGCCCATATATCCGATATATGCATGTGTATGGAATTATGATGTGCTACAGATACCTGTATCTTAATTGGATAAGATATGTGACTTATCCCCTTTTGACCGGGATAAAAGTCATATCAAAATGTTTGTTGCATTGGTATCTATCAGACAGCAGATGATGGTCCCGGTCAATAGGGGATGGGTATCTAAAAAAGGCCCATATATCCGATATATGCATCTGTATGGAATAAATATATTTTAAAAGAGAGACATGTACCTTTATAAATAAGATATGTGACTTATCCCCTTTTGACCGGGATAAAAGTCATATCAAAATGTTTGTTGCATTCATATCTATCAGACAACAGATGATGGTCCCGGTCAATAGGGGATGGGTATCTAAAAAAGGCCCATATATCCGATATATGCATGTGTATGGAATTATGATGTGCTACAGATACCTGTATCTTAATTGGATAAGATATGTGACTTATCTCCTTTTGACCGGGATAAAAGTCATATCAAAATGTTTGTTGCATTCATATCTATCAGACAACAGATGATGGTCCCGGTCAATAGGGGATGGGTATCTAAAAAAGGCCCATATATCCGATATATGCATGTGTATGGAATTATGATGTGCTACAGATACCTGTATCTTTAATTGGATAAGATATGTGACTTATCCCCTTTTGACCGGGATGAAAGTCATATCAAAATGTTTGTTGCATTCATATCTATCAGACAACAGATGATGGTCCCGGTCAATAGGGGATGGGTACCTAAAATAGGCCCATATATCCGATATATGCATCTGTATGGAATAATTATATTTTAAAAGAGAGACATGTATCTTTTTAGATAAGATATGTGACTTATCCCCTTTTGACCGGGATAAAAGTTATATCAAAATGTTTGTTGCATTCATATCTATCAGACAACAGATGATGGTCCCGGTCAATAGGGGATGGGTATCTAAAAAAAGGCCCATATATCCGATATATGCATGTGTATAGAATTATGATGTGCTACAGATACCTGTATCTTAATTGAATAAGATATGTGACTTATCCCCTTTTGACCGGGATAAAAGTTATATAAAAATGTTTGTTGTATTCATATCTATCAGAAAACTAATGATGGTCCCGGTCAATAGGGGATGGGTACCTAAAAAAGGCCCATATATCCGATATATGCATGTGTATGGAATATTTAAAGAGAGTCATGTATCTTTTTTGATAAGATATGTGACTTATCCCCTTTTGACCGGGATAAAAGTCATATCAAAATGTTTGTTGCATTCATATCTATCAGACAACAGATGATGGTCCCGGTCAATAGGGGATGGGTATCTAAAAAAGGCCCATATATCCGATATATGCATGTGTATGGAATTATGATGTGCTACAGATACCTGTATCTTAATTGGATAAGATATGTGACTTATCCCCTTTTGACGGGGATAAGATCATATCAAAATGTTTGTTGCATTCATATCTATCAGACAACAGATGATGGTCCCGGTCAATAGGGGATGGGTATCTAAAAAAGGCCCATATATCCGATATATGCATATGTATGGAATTATGATGTGCTACAGATACCTGTATCTTAATTGAATAAGATATGTGACTTAACCCCTTTTGACCGGGATAAAAGTCATATAAAAATGTTTGTTGTATTCATATCTATCAGAAAACAAATGATGGTCCCGGTCAATAGGGGATGGGTATCTAAAAAAGGCCCATATATCCGATATATGCATGTGTATGGAATTATGATGTGCTACAGATACCTGTATCTTAATTGGATAAGATATGTGACTTATCCCCTTTTGACCGGGATAAAAGTCATATCAAAATGTTTGTTGCATTGATATCTATCAGACAGCAGATGATGGTCCCGGTCAATAGGGGATGGGTATCTAAAAAAGGCCCATATATCCGATATATGCATGTGTATGGAATTATGATGTGCTACAGATACCTGTATCTTAATTGAATAAGATATGTGACTTAACCCGTTTTGACCGGGATAAAAGTCATATAAAAATGTTTGTTGTATTCATATCTATCAGAAAACAAATGATGGTCCCGGTCAATAGGGGATGGGTATCTAAAAAAGGCCCATATATCCGATATATGCATGTGTATGGAATTATGATGTGCTACAGATACCTGTATCTTAATTGGATAAGATATGTGACTTATCCCCTTTTGACCGGGATAAAAGTCATATCAAAATGTTTGTTGCATTAATATCTATCAGACAGCAGATGATGGTCCCGGTCAATAGGGGATGGGTATCTAAAAAAGGCCCATATATCCGATATATGCATGTGTATGGAATTATGATGTGCTACAGATACCTGTATCTTAATTGGATAAGATATGTGACTTATCTCCTTTTGACCGGGATAAAAGTCATATCAAGATGTTTGTTGCATTCATATCTATCAGACAACAGATGATGGTCCCGGTCAATAGGGGATGGGTATCTAAAAAAGGCCCATATATCCGATATATGCATCTGTATGGAATAAATATATTTTAAAAGAGAGACATGTACCTTTATAAATAAGATATGTGACTTATCCCCTTTTGACCGGGATAAAAGTCATATCAAAATGTTTGTTGCATTCATATCTATCAGACAACAGATGATGGTCCCGGTCAATAGGGAATGGGTATCTAAAAAAGGCCCATATATCCGATATATGCATCTGTATGGAATAATTATATTTTAAAAGAGATCGAGACATGTATCTTTTTAAATAAGATATGTGACTTATCCCCTTTTGACCGGGATAAAAGTCATATCAAAATGTTTGTTTATTCATATCTATCAGACAACAGATGCTGGTCCCGGTCAATAGGGGATGGGTATCTAAAACAAGGCCTCGATATATCCGATATAATTATGCATGTGTATGGAATAATAATATTTTACGTAAGACATGTATCTTTTTTGCCAAGATATGTGACTTATCCCCTTTTGACCGGGATAAAACTCATATAAAAATGTATGTTGTTTTCATATCTATCAGACAACAGATGATGGTCCCGGTCAATAGGGGTTGGGTACCTAAAACAAGCTTATATCAGATATGTTTATGTGCATTGAAATGTTATTTTTTGAATATCCGAAAATCCGAATATCAAACTGGCTTGATATTCGCACTTTGAATATCGAATATCGAATATCGAATATCTTTCTAACTTCACGCCGGTTGACGAAGGGGGTGATTTTGTTTGAAATATGGATTGTTCTCAATTCATTATATTATTGCTTGATTTGGATATGACCTTCAAAGTCTCAGCTCTCATTTGAATACAAAAACAATCTTGGCCTGGCCCAGCCTCAAAAAAAAAAAATGCATGTAAAAAACTAAAAGTAAAACCGAAAATATTGTCTTAGTTTGACAAAGTTTGAGTTTGATTTTGAAGTAGATCTTAGTGAGTTTGAGTTTGAGTGATAGCGAGAAAAGATATTTACAGTGGGCAGGATCCTAATTTTAACCATAAATCATTAGATCTAAATATGAAAAGGGCATAGATCTAGACCTAATCTCGATTCTTTTTAAGTTACCGGTGTGTTGGCTCAGTCACGTCAGTAGAGCGTCCGCCTCACAACCGGGAGGACGTGGGTTTGCACCCCGGCTGCGTCATACCAAAAAGACGTTAAAAGACGGGAGTTGCTGCTGCCTTGTTTGGCATTCAACAATAAGGGGATAGAGCAACGTTGATCTGGCGCTGCTCAGTGGCTGCCGGGCTCACAATCAATTGGGCAAAAAGAATTTCCATTTTCGGTTTAATAAAATTTGGAGTGGTTGGACTAAAAAAAAAAGAAGAAGATTACTTGCCAGTTCAAGTTTTTGTTCTCTGTCTAGTCTTAGAATCAACTGACAATTGACTTATTTATTTCGGTTGGATTTTCTTTTTCTTTTGCAGTTTTACAAATATAGAATATATAACAAACAAATCATTTCAAATTTTACACATGACAAAGTCAAAAGAGTATAGATCTAGATCTAGGCCTAGTCTATATATAAAGTAAGGCTGGCTGCAACTAACCGAAAACATCAAACAGCTAGAGAGAGGGTTGACAAAGTAAGCAAAGCTTGATAGCATGACTATTGGTAAAAGGAAAAAAGAAAGAAAAAAAATGGGTGTACATCAAGATTTGCAGAGGAAACAGAATTCTTTTTGACTTGGCTTGTGTTTGATGGTAGATTAGACCCTATTTTTTTAATTAGAAAAGGAAATTCAGAGAAATTGAAATGGCTTTTTTGGTTGCTTTATATACTATTTTTTTTATTCCTTTCCCTTTCTCTATATAGATCTCCATCTTAAATTGACAGACTTTTGTTCAGAATGGTGAGTAGATGCAAATATTTAGTTTATAATTTTTATCTCCTTCCACTGAATCCGGGCTACCTCGGCCCACGGGACTACTCGGCCCAGCTGGAAAAACCCAGTTTTCCAGCTGGGTCGAGTAGTCCTGTGGGCCGAGGTAGCCCGTCTCCCTTCCAACATGGTGCGGAAGTCTGAGTTTAACATAGTCTATTAAATATATTTCATTTGATTTTTAACATATTACTTAGCACCAAATAAACTTTGGAAGAAATCTGTCAACATAATTTTCAGATTTAACACTGATCATAAATCAAATGAATTTGCCTAGATAGATCTAAGAAGGTGTGTTTTCGTTTTTATCGTCAACCTTCATAGTTCATTTTAGGTGTATGAAGCTAGGTAAAACTAAAACTCGTAACATGCATGGTACGTTTAATGTCCATGGACAATCGGCCTTTTGCATTGTATATGCACCAATATAAGTACCCTCTTGAGATGCATTTGCCCTATTAAACACACTCACACCTGTGTATTATTTGTAAATTAATCTGTTGAAGAGTGTTTGAATCTGTTATAACGATATCATGCATTTCCCATAGACTCCAGCCCGAGATGTAATTCATTTAATAATATAACGTAATGTGAAACTTCAAAATAAAAATTTGATTTACCGGTATATGATTTCTTATAAATTATGTTACACATTGCAGGTACGAAACAGGAACTGGCAGAAGGAGGAGATAATACTCCTCAGTGAATTTGTTAAGACGAACCGGCCGAAGCTGTATGGCAAGGCACATCATTGTTCGTCCAGAGTATGTACTCTTCTGAATTTGTTTTATTTTTCTTATCAGTAGTGCTCCATTTTTTATGCATGCTCCCATCCTCTCATGTGCAGTAAGTACATTTAGCTGTGTCATCCAATTCTCTTAAACTTGATTTCCTTAAAATATGTGATGAATGGATTTATCAAATTTGCTATGAATTTTATTAAATTTATAAAAATGAAAATGAGGAGAAGGAAAAAATACCGACAGATGTACAAGTACAGTACTTTTCATGTTTGATTTTAGGTCGAGAAGAGGAAAGAAAAGGCCTGGGTGAAGGCCTCGGCACTATTGAATAGCAACGGCTTTGCACGGTCCCCGAAACAGACCAAAAAAAAGTGGAGTGACATCAGAATCTGTGCCAACAGATATGAGGGCCAGAAAAAATTGACAGGTATGTTTTATTTGAACTTGTTTGAATGAATATTGCGGACATTCTGTTGAAGCTGACATTCTTGATTACGCGTTATTTCCTCTTAATTTTGTTGTTGTTGAAAGAAACCCTAGTTTTTGGTTTGTCCGTCCATTCATCTGTAATTGTGTCTTGTTACAATAACTGTAGAATCACTGGTGGTAGAGAGTTGAAACACAAGACCATAACAAAATCAAATATTTCTTTATTTGCTTTAGAGGGGGGAGGGGGTCAGGGCAAATTTCAAGGTTAAAAGGTCAACTACATGTGCAAAAGCTTGTTTCTTTTATGACCATGTTAAAAAGTAACATCAATAATCTACTACAGATTTTCTTTTTAAAAACAATGATATCAAAATTTGAATATAATCACATTTCTTGAGAAAATTGACGTACATGTCATATATTTCAATTATACTTCTTCATCTGCTGTATACTTCCATAGGAGGAGGGCCAAGCGTCAATTAAATCCGGTATACGAGGCGGTGCTGTCGGCCATAGCGCCGCAATCCAGGGAGGGCATCTCCAGCGGGGAGGAAGCTGGCTTCGGAAGCAGTGATGAGTCGGAGGTAATCATGAGCTATAAAGTAAATTTGTTTTGGGTCGATCTTGTGGATAACTTAATTAGGGCAATTGTTGAAATTGGTCACAATTACCTTCATTTATTTACTGTACCTCCACCATAGAAGTTTGAAGGGGGTTCTGAGTCGGTGAACGGTCTGGCAGTCAGTTAGTCAGTCAAAAAATTTGTAGAGAGAACTACTTCCACAGTTTTGGGACAATTCAAATACAAATTTGTAAACAGAATAACTTTGAGGTGCAAATGTGCAATACATGTTATTTGTTGCCACGGTAACCACGATTTTGCATATTCAAAAAGCGTTACTGCAAGGATATTTCTTTTGTAATTATTTTTAAAAATGTTTATTTAATTTGTATCAGAAAATGATCGGACGTTCGCTTGACTACTACAAATTGAGGATTTTGATGATGAAAAGCATTCTGAGCACAATTGGCCGATGGGCATTATGGATAATTAGTTTCCTCAACTGACTTGTGTTGAATTTTGTTATATTATTCTAAGTATATGAAATAAGAAAATGAAACTTGTCTCTTTTAAATGATCTACCGGTATGTTGGCTCGGTCAGTAAAGCGTCCGCCTCACTTCGGGAGGTTTGTGTACAAATCAGTCAATTGGGCAAAAAAGAATTTCCATTTTCAGTTTAACTTAATAAAACTTGGAGTGGACTTTAAAAGATTATTATTATTATTGGTGTCAAAATAATTCCTAGAGGAAATGTAACTTTCATTTTTATGCCTCTGCTACTATGTTTTAGGGTTGTTCATCTGTCTGTCTGTACATCCCGTTCTCTGATCGCGTTATCTCAAGAACCAATTAATGGATTTCAGCCAAACTTAAGTCATGTATGTATCTTGCAGAGTCAATGAACCAAGTAGATTTTGGGGTCAAAGGTCACAGGGCTCGTTATGCTTCTGTTTTGGTTTGTATAATTGCTCTATATGGTGGAGGCATCATTTCCGATTGCAAGCAGTCAAAGATCCATCTAGTTTAATAGCTGATTTTATTCTTTCCTATTTTTCATATCACAGTGCAGTGAAAGTGAAGTAGCTCTGTCTTTGCTTAAAGGGATGATGGAGCCTGCAGCTGACATCGGTTCACCTTCACCAACGACAGCTACAACACCAGCACCAACGACAGCTACAACACCAGCACCAACGACAGCTACAACACCAGCACCAACGACAGCTACAACACCAGCACCAACGACATCTACAACACCAGCACCAACGACAGCTACAACACCAGCACCAACGACAGCTACAACAACAGCACCAATGACAGCTACAACACCAGCGACATCGACAGCTACGAAACCAGCACCAACGACAGCTGCGAAACCAGCACCAACGACAGCTACAACACCAGCATCTACATCAACAACTCCAGCAGCAATATCCACAACATCACGTAGGGCGCAGTCAGCTCGATCTTCGGTAACACCGGTGTCGCAGACTGCAAGTCTTCTGGCTACACAGCTGGAAGTTGACTGTGAGCGACTACATGTTGAGCAGGAGAACCTGTCGCTCAGAATGAAGGAATTCTCCTTGCAAAAAGAGCGTATGCTAATGAAAAAAAAAAATGGAAATAATGAAGGAGATGCTTATCATCCTTCGTAAAATGTCAAAAAATGAGGCATAATTTTAGGTTGTTAATAGACCCTCAAATTTGTTTTGGAATAATGATATACGCAGTTAATTCACATTTTTTAATCTTCATCAATATCTTCAAAGTAATTTTTTTTCTCCAGATTCCTTTAAGGCTTTAATGTTAAATGATAAATGGTATCCTCTCAACAAGTAGTTGCTCACGTTCCATTTCAAGCTGTGTAGCCTGAAGACTTGCAGTCTCCAATGCTGGTGTTATTGAAGATCTTGCTGTGTCCTATGTGATGCTTTTTTCAATCTGATATTATATCTATATTATTCACATTTTTTAATCTTCATCAATATCTTCAAAGTAATTTTTTTTCTCCAGTTTCATTTAAAGATACTATGTCCCTTTTGCAGCCAACCTCAAATTCTCTAAAACTTTGCAGGAATTACGAAATTGTCATGTATGTCCTATCTATGAAATTTAAACGTTAGCAGTGTCCTTATATTCAAATTACTTGCTAGACTTCACTGTCAGACACTATTGTCAGTATTGAGTGACTGACTGGCTTTTTCTTTTTCATTTGTAATAACATACATAAAATGAGCCGCAAAGGATTTGTCTACATCAGTAACCCACTTCTTGTAATAGTCAAAGTTAAACTGATTGAATGTTTGCGCAGTATAAAACGTACGACCATGCGGTACAATGGTCTGAAAATCAAGACTATTACTTATTCGATTTGACAACTAAAAGTCATTATTTTCCAACTTAAAGACAATTTCAAGCCCCATTTTTTTTTCTAAATTAGTATTATTCCCTTGAACATCATTTTAGTGACTTTTACAACCATTTTTTTTGCTCCCAAAACTTTAGAGGGGCTTTGAAGGGATTTGGGAACATTGTTCAGATGTAGGAAAAGTGCTTTGAAGGTACAGTAGTACCTATTCATACACAACTTTCTTGTTAAGAATAACGCATATTTTTGCAAACTCAATTGTGCTTTAACTGCTATTTTATTGTGAATTGCTATGCAATTCAATTTGTACACAACAGTTACCTTCTTCTTGTCATGACCAAAATCAAACTGATTCAGTCTTTACTCCGGAGATACTCTCTCATCATGCACTATTTAAACAGTGCGTGTTCGTGGTCAAATCAGTATTGCATAAACATACTTGCTGTGCATACTAAACATAATTACGTCCTTGTCCTTTATTCATAGACTTCAAATTTGTTTAAATGAGATATTGAAGTATACTGCTAGCTGATAGAAATAATCTTTGGAAACCAATGTACTGTCCATCCAAATAATTCTTGACTGATGAGATTGGGTTGAAGGGGGGGGGGGGGTAGTGGTAATGACAGAGTCCTTGATCATCATCCCTCATTTCAGAAATCACCACTTGTACAGCTCATCATCTGGATGAAATATTTAATAAGTAGAAAAATTGATGTTAGAAATATATAATATTGTAACGGGTTTTGTCCGGGGTCCCTGCACCATTTACCGAGCGGTCAATAAATCTCACGAGACTCCAATCACCCGCACGGTTCTTTCATAAACAGTGAAGCTATCACTCCAACATCATCGATCGCACTCAGATCACGCTACTTTTCTATAATACACGGAAACACAGTGTCATTTTACATCAAAAGGTACTTGCCTTTATTCACGAAGAACTCCAACTTTACAATGTAACTTCCCTTCAACAGCTAGTAGCAGTACTCCGATTCACCCTGTTTCACCTATCTTATCCTGCCCTCCCTAGCTACCTGCCCGAACACGTCCTCTCTTGCTCATGCCTAATACCTAACTGCCCACCCGCATGCACTGACCCACATGCGCCCGCTACGTTGAAACAACTCCGTTACACTGCCCCCTCCTTAATTTAAAAACGTCCTCGTTTTATAAACTTAAAAACAACTAATCCCGTGCGTAACATTAACTATAAAACTGCAAGTCACAAAACATCTCAAAACTTGAACAATTAATAACTGATGAAAACATGAAAAATATACAGAGTCCGTTTCTTTTCTTTTTTTTTTTTATTACACGTAGTAAGTCCTTTGGTTATTATCTGCGATCATCATATGAACTTGTGCATAGCGTCTAACATCTCACTGAACGGATTGGGTTGAATCATCAAATCCTGCAATGATGTCGACATGAAACTCCTTCCTTGATTCCTCTTTACTAACAAGGATCCCCCCTTGAAATATTTGCCTAGTGGTAGTCTGCGTCACGCTCTGAATCCTCCCTAAGATAGCTCGCGAGAACTGCTCATCTGACATATGAACACCTACGACTCCAGCTTGGACACTACGCACCTTCGTCGTCCCCCCCGCCTTCTTCCTTCTGACTCCCGTCGGCACTATTCCGCAAGAAGATGGCGCCGTACTTCCTCTCCCTCGTCTCTTGGAAAACTTTCTCTGCCCCATTATACGAGGTCTGGGAGGAAAATTCATTAACTTCCACCCTCTGGTTGCGCAACAACCTCTTCACGTCAAGGGGCGGAATTGGACGACCTATTTGGACACTCCTGACATCAACAGCTGTGCCTCCACAACCATCTTCCGGCGACGCCACATCAGCGACTGCAGATTCCTCTGATTCAGAACTGGTGAGTTGCTGCTGTCTCATCATAGCGAGTGGCTTACCAGACAGTCTTCTCGAGCGACTGTCTTTCCTCCCCTCTACTTCTTCCCTGGTGCGAGGAGAGACGACAACCTGGAGCGGGTCTTGGGGCAACTCATCGCGTTCAAGCTTTGCCTGAACAACTTGTTTCTTCCTGTCCTTTCTCTTCTTCTCCTCTCTCCGGTTCGGCAAAGGCGACCTCGACGGGCTCCTACTGCGACGGCGATGATCAGACTTGCTCTGCCTTTCAAGGTACCTTCCCCGCGACTGGCTTCGCTCCCGGTCTTGGGATTTCTCAGGATGTCTGTCTCTGCAATGTGCCGTTAAGTTATCTTTCCTGTTGTATGCTCTGCTGCAATATTGACATACAAAGCGTTGTTCGTCCTTGTGTTCGACGTCAATGTGACGATCCAAGCTCCTCTTGTGTGCAAAGTACTTCTGGCATGTGAAGCACTTGATTGTCCTCTCGGAGTCCCCTCCCATGTTGATCCCTCAGCACGAACACGATCTGTGCAAGCAACAAAGAAAGAATTGAAGTGATTACTAATCTATGATTTCAGTACAAATTCGAAGCTTCATCCGTCAATCCAGCAAAATAGTCACATAATCATGTCAATGCAATCACGCTAAAGTCAAATCTCATATAGAAGTCGCCCTGGCGCATTCCTTGTCCGTGGTGGATTTCGTCTAGGAACTGGGCTTGGCTGTACAGTACTGTCCGCTTTACTTTGCAACAACTCCCCTTCGGCTATGTCTTGTATCTGCTCAGTTTCTGTTTCTGCCTGGACTCCAACACCATCTTCTACAAGGTCTTCTGTTTGTGATATTCCACTCTCCTCTTCAGCGTGGTCTACTTGCTGACTTGTAGGTTCATCAATCCACGAGGCAAGAGGTTCACCTAAATAAGGCTTTAACCTGTCAGCATGAACTACCATCTTCTTTCCTCGGTTCTTTGCCTGTATCCTGTAGACGACATCAGACAATCGATGAATGATGAGGAACGGCCCTTTCCAACGACGCTGCAATTTGGGAGACAACCCCTTTGTCCTAGCTGAGTTGTAGCACCACACAAATTGCCCGACCGTTAATTCATGTGCATGTGCTTTCCTGTCGTAGACCTTCTTCTGCCTCCTTGAACTCTCTGATGTGTTCTCCCTCGCTCGTTCGTGCGCCAGCCTCATCTTGTTCCTTAGGTTTTCCGCATAATCCGTATCCAGACCGCGATCCAGCTCCCGATCATCCTTGCACAAGTCAGCGGAAAGGTCTATTGGCAGATGTACTTCTCGCCCTAACATCAACATGTTCGGTGTCTCGCCGGTCGACTCCTGAGGGGATGAACGGTAGGCGAAGAGAGCGAGGGGTAACTTCTCATCCCAATCTCTTTGCCGTCTGGTAGGTTCGATGGCCATGGACACAATGGTGATCAACGTACGATTGAATCGCTCAATTAGTCCATCGGATTTCGGGTTGTACGGCGTTGTCCGTGTCTTCTCTATGCCCAAGACACTACACATCTCTCTGAAGACCGCTGATTCAAAATTTCGGCCCTGGTCCGAATGCAAGACTGATGGGACTCCAGAACGACATACAAACTGGTTCACGAACTCAGTCGCCACAGTTGTTGCTTTCTGGTCAGGTATTGCATAGGCTTCCATCCATCGGGTGAAATAATCTCCCACAACCATTATGTATCGGTTCCCTCGCTCCGACTCGGGAAGGGGGCCCATGATGTCCAAAGCGACTCTTTCCATCGGCATGCCGACTTGGTGCTGCTGCAAGGGGGCCCTCCTGGTCTTGTTGGGTGATTTTTTAGAAGCACATACGTTGCATTGACGTACTGTGGACCTAACATCTGTATCCAGGCCAGGCCAGTAGAATCGCTGGCGAACCTTTGCTGTAGTCCTACGCATTCCGAGATGTCCGCCTGAAGGCCCGCTGTGTATTTCTTGGACCATCATCTTCCTGAGGGCCTCAGGCAACACAACATGCCACTCAATCTGATCGCCTCTGTTTGACTCCCATCTTCTACAAAGGACGCCGTTTCTGATCTCGAGTTGGTCCCAGCATCGCCAATATGCCTTCTTCGCAGCTGAAAAGGAAGACATTGTACTCCAGTTGGCCCGGTCTTCTCCTTTCTCCTTCATCTCTATGACCCAACTCATGGAACTGTCATCTAGTTGTCTGTCTCTCATGTCTGCAGAGGTGATTGATGGCTCGAGGGTCACGGCGTTCACTTTCACTCCATTGTCTATGTGAACTTCTGGGATTTTCTGTTGCTCTTCCAGAGGTGGCTCACCTCCTCCACACTGCTTGCAAGCAACACATGGCCTTCTCGACAGGCTGTCAGCGTTGGAATGAGAACGACCAGCCCTGTGTACTATCTCTATGTCATATTCTGCTATGACCTGTAGCCATCGTGCCATCTGCGCCTGCGGGTCACGGAAATTCAGCAGCCATCTCAAGGCGCCGTGGTCGGTTCTGACAGTAATTTTACTTCCGTATAAGTACTGTCTGAAATGCTTGAGGTAGACAACAACGGCTAGAAGTTCGCGTCTTGTCACACAGTAGTTCCTTTCGGGTTTGGATAGAGCTCTGCTTGCATATGCGATGACTCGCTCCTTTCCTCCTACTTCTTGAGAGAGTACCGCACCTATGCCCACGTTGCTTGCATCAGTGTCCAGTATGTATGACTTTTCAGGGTCTGGGTATGCGAGAACTGGTGCCGTCAGGAGATGTTCCTTCAACTCAGAGAAAGCGCAGTCACACTCGTTAGTCCAGATGAATTCCCTGCCTTTTTCGGTGAGCTGGTGAAGAGGACGTGCAATGTTTGCAAAACCACCAATGAAACGTCGGTAGTATGACGCCAATCCGAGGAAGCTTTGGACTTCTTTAACAGAAGTTGGAACTGGCCAATCCTCCACTACTTTGATCTTTTCAGGATCGGTAGAGATGCCATCAGGTGACACTACGTGGCCAAGGTACAAGACACTCCTTTTGAAGAGATGGCACTTTCTGGGTTTCAGCTTCAACCCGGCATCCCGGAGGCGCTGGAAAACTGTCTCTAGTCTTGTCAACTCTTCATTTACAGTCTTAGCAAAAACAATCACATCATCGAGGTACACGAGTAGAACCTTCCAGTGTAACCCTGCAAGGACACGCTCCATAAGACGTTCAAACGTCGACGGCGCGTTACAGAGCCCAAACGGCATGACCCGCCAGGAGTAGAGGCCACCACGGACCACAAATGCCGACTTCTTCTGGGCATCCTCATCTAGCTCGACCTGCCAATATCCTGACGCTAGATCTAGAGTTGAGAACCATTCTGATCCACCCAGAGTGTCCAGTGTCTCATCAATGCGGGGTATCGGAAATGCATCTTTCACTGTCACGTTGTTGAGTCGCCTATAGTCTATGCAAAATCTCTTCGATCCGTCCTTTTTGCGTACCAACACAACGTTTGAAGCCCACGGGCTTTCTGTTGGCACTATGCTTCCAGATTGAAGCATGTCCTGTATCTGGGAGTCAATCTCTTGCTGTTCCTTTGGTGGGAATCTTCGTGGCCTCTCCTTTATCGTTGACGCATTCCCTGTGTTGATGCCATGGCGAACAAGGTTGGTCCGTCCAATATCTGTGTCAGATTTCGCAAATACGTCTTGGTTCTTGCGTAGAAGTTCGGCAATGTTATCGTGAAAGCTGTTGGGTACCTCTGTCTTGCTCCGCTTGAACAAATCAACCAAATGTGGAGGGACGTCACCTGTATCTTCATCGTTGGATGTGTGCATTGTCATGTCTACAACATCAGTCTTTTTCACCGGGGTAAAGTGACCTGCCATTGTGCCTCGCTTGATAGTGCATTCCCTGTCTCCGGGGTTGTACACTCGAATAGGTACTGTGTTGTCTGTAGATTCTGCCAAGATTCTTGCAACCATCACCCCTTTTCTTCCTACTTCGTTTTCCTCTGTAGGTTCTAGGATCCCGAGACCGGCTTCACCAGGATTCCCCTTAATCAATCCTGGGACCAATGCTTCATGACCCGGTGGAATCTTGGTAGTCTCCTCTACCACCACCCTGAAGCATAATCCATGCCCCAGCTTATCACTGCATTTGATTTTGTCTCCATTCAAGTCCAGTTGCAGTTGTTGTAAGTCGATCTTCGCATGTGTTGCTATCAGAAAATCCATTCCAAGGATCCCTTCTGCTGAGCCAGTATTGCCAAATATGACACGAATTGAACAAACCGTCCTGCCAACCTTTAATTCTAGACAGGAGCTGCCCATTGTCTCCATTCTGCTTCCATCAGCATTAGAAACGTTTGCTCCATACCTTGTCAATTCTGGCTTTTTCTCGTTGGGAATTCGGTAGTATACTGTGTTAGAAAGAATTGTATCTGTTGCTCCCGTGTCTACCAAAAGCATGGTCTTGACTCCCCTAATCTCGACTTCAACGTAGAGTCCACTCTGGACACATGCCCTAGACACATTATGTCTTTCCTGATCAGTTCTGCCCCTTTGGTTGTTCTCTACTGTTCGTCCTTTCCGGTTTTGCCCTTGTTTTCTTGTGGCCTTCCCTCGGGCTGCAGAGTCGGCTCGTGCTCGTTTCCCGACGGATCTTGTCCTTTCTTCTGAGGACAATTCCGAGCCAAATGCCCCTTTTCGCCGCAATTGTAGCAGTTCCGAACTTCTCCACGTGATTGGTTCTTCCACGTTTCTACCTTGTTGTCTCGTTCTTCAAGTTTGAGCTTCATCTCTTTTAACTCTTTCCATATTTCTGTGAGAGGTGATTGCTGTTCCTCCGTCGATCTGGCTAGTTTGCGGTGGAACCTGCTTCTCCCACTTCGTTGGTCTTCAAGGCGGAAAAAGTTGTCCGTGGTCATAGCAGCTTGTATTGCCTCATCCATTGTGGTTGGCTGTGATCTGAAAATGCCCTCACGGATTTCCTGCTCCTCTATTGCTTCTGCAAAGTGTGTACGCGCCAAACGATCACGCGCCTCTTCTGGTAGTTCTGGGTATGCTGATTCAGACAATTCTCGAACAGCCTGACCCAACTCCTGAAGAGTCTCCTGAGGTCCTTGCCGCCTTGAACGTAATTCAAGGAGGTAGTTTTCAGCCATCTGCCCTGGGCCGAACCTTTTCTCGAGCAAATGAACGAGCTCCTGGTACGTTATCCTCGAGAGTTGCCTCTGGCTCCCCATGACTTTGATCGCTGCTCCCCTAAGGCTAGCGGCAAGGAAAATCTTGGCCTCCTCGTCGTTCCAACCATTCGCCAACTTGCATGCCCTAAAATGCTGGATGTAGTCGATCCATGGATTCTTCCCATCGAACTTGTCTGGCACAATGCTGGGTCGGGAAATGCGCGACATTCCTGTTTTTTCTTCATCAGAAAACCCAGGACTCAATTCCTGTCTTGTCATCCTTGGTTCCTGTGACATGCCTCCTTCTCTCGCATGCTCCCTATCCCACTCTTTTTCCTCTTGGTCGGCCCTTGTAGTTGATCCTCTGAGGTTGTACTCACTTGTTTCACTGTGCAAGTGTTGCCTTGATGTTAATGTGCCTTGTGGTTGTACCTCTCTGTACAGCCTGCTGGGAAACTCAGCCTTATCCATTTCTCCCGTCTTCTCAACTGTTGTGGCAGGCAGTTCATAACTCATTGGAGATCGTATTCCGAACTTGTTGGGATTTCCCCAGTCACGAAGCTGCACTTCTTCATCCCTCCGTCCGTGTGCTGCAGTAGCTGAATCCAGTTTCAACTGAAGGAGGCGATTTTGCTCCATCAACAGCCTGTTCTGTCCTTTGGAGTGTTCGAGGTACTCGTTACTCTCTTGCAGTTCAGCCACCAGGTTTTCTAGCTCCTCCAACGAATGCAGGCTAGTTGCCATACTGCCACACGGTGATCCAACAACTTCAAACTGTGTGCTGTGTAGCTGGGCAAGTGTGCTGTGTGTAGGCGCTATTTAGGTGATAACACGAAGAGCATTATAGGCGCTATACATAGGATGTGGAGAATAGGCACTTATATATGTAGGTGAACTAGTAGGTTCAGGTAAACTATAGTAAGTGTAGGCGTAGGTGAACTATAGTAGGTGTAGGTGTAGGTGAACTAGTAGGTTCAGGTAAACTATAGTAAGTGTAGGCGTAGGTGAACTAGTAGGTGAAGGCGTAGGTGAACTATAGTAGGCGTAGGTGAACTATAGTAGGTGTAGGCGTAGGTGAACTAGTAGGTGAAGGCGTAGGTGTAGGCGAACTAGCATTCCCGATAATCACTTGATGTTGCTTAATTCCTGCTTCAGCATGTTTATCCCACCGCGGCCACCAATGTAACGGGTTTTGTCCGGGGTCCCTGCACCATTTACCGAGCGGTCAATAAATCTCACGAGACTCCAATCACCCGCACGGTTCTTTCATAAACAGTGAAGCTATCACTCCAACATCATCGATCGCACTCAGATCACGCTACTTTTCTATAATACACGGAAACACAGTGTCATTTTACATCAAAAGGTACTTGCCTTTATTCACGAAGAACTCCAACTTTACAATGTAACTTCCCTTCAACAGCTAGTAGCAGTACTCCGATTCACCCTGTTTCACCTATCTTATCCTGCCCTCCCTAGCTACCTGCCCGAACACGTCCTCTCTTGCTCATGCCTAATACCTAACTGCCCACCCGCATGCACTGACCCACATGCGCCCGCTACGTTGAAACAACTCCGTTACAATATATAAAGTTGTACATACATGTAAGTATTTATTTGTTTCAAATTATATTATATTAATATATTTAATATATACCAGGTAATAGTTCCACTATTGTATTGTATTGGAATGTAAAAGATTTTGTTTCATTAAAGTTTATTACCAGTAATAAATTATATTCATGAATTTACCTATGTGTTTATTGGTCATCAAATTTGCTTCTATTATTTTTCATGTTACAAAAGTAATAGGTCACATATACAAATAAGATAATAAAATATATAAAGAATATTTGTTATTATTTAATTATAGAAATGTTTGGTAAAAGAAAATGGGAACAATTTTTGTTAAAGTTACATACTAGACCGCGAAGTACTGGATAATCTCTGCCCGGGCTGCAACTCCAGAGACTTCATCTTGTGCAGCTGCGTGTACCTCTTCATATCCGTCCTCGCCCTCTTCGTCCTCTCCCTCTTCGTGTTCCATGTCGGGACCCCCACAGTCCTTGCTGAGGTTGTAGAGGATGCAGCAGGACAGGATGATTTTGACAGCATGCCTTGGCTTCCGTTGCAGTCCATGTCCAAGCAAGCACCGGAACTTTTGTTTCAGTTGACCGTTGACCTGCTCAATGTGAACTCTTGTTCGGATATGTGCACTGTTGAGACATGAAAATTCACCCATGAATACAATTGTTTTTTTCTTCCTTTTATCCAATATTCACAATATCATACTTGTTAATAACCTAACAAACAGTCTCTCTCAAAATCATGTATGAATAATTGTCATTGCCATGACCAAAGCTGATGAGTAAACAATTTTGAATATATATTTAATGTATATTTCCGAAATAAATGGACAGTGAAATATCGATTAAAAAAAATTAAAAAATACACTGAATAAAGAATGCATCATACAAAATTAAATGTTGCATTACTTGTTGTAAGCTTTCTCAGCTTGGCTTTGGGGATTCTGCAAGGGGGTCATCAGCCATTGTCTTGAGGGATACCCAGAATCACCGAGCAATATCCCTTTCAGCTGTCCTACATGGTACTTCCTTGCCAACTTGCTGTTCTGTATCAAAGAAAAGAAACATTCATTTTTATGCCTCCGCCACCGAAGGTGGTGCCGGAGGCATCATGTTTTCGGGTTGTCCGTCCGTACGTCCGTCCGTACGTCCCGTTTGACCGTTATCACAATATCTCAAGAACCATTTAAGATTTAAACTTAAGACTCGGGAATAGTATTTATCACCATAGGAAGACGATCTGATTAGATTTTGGAGTACGTAGGTCAAAGGTCACAGGTCACAGAGGTCAACTTATGAAATTCCTTGTATTGAGTTTGTTAGCGCGATATCTCAAGAACCATTCGAGATTTAAACTTCAAACTTAAGGATAGTATGTATCACCATAGGAAGACGATCTGATTAGATTTTGGAGCACGTATGTCAAAGGTCAAGGGTCACAGAGGTCAACTTATGAAATTCCATACATTGAGATTGTTATCATGATATCTCAAGAACCACTGGAGATTTAAACTTCAAACTTAGTGATAGTGTGTATCACTATAGGAAAACAATCTGATTACATTTTGGGTCACGAGGTCAAAGGTCAAAGGTCACGGCTCATTATGTATGCAAAAACAGCTTGTGATCGCGTTATCTGAACAACCGATTGATGGATTCCTGCCAAACTTTGGTCATGTATGTATCTTGCAGAGCTGATGAACTGATTAGATTTTGGGGTCACGAGGTCAAAGGTCACAGGGCTCATTATGTATGCAAAAACAGCTTGTGATCGCGTTATCTGAAGAACCGATTGATGGATTCCTGCCAAACTTTGGTCATGTATGTATCTTGCAAAGCCAATGAACTGATTAGATTTTGGGGTCACGAGGTCAAAGGTCACAGCGCACATTGTGTATGCAAAAACAGCTCGTGATCGCCTTATCTCAAGAACCGATTGATGGATTCCTGCCAAACTTAGGTCATGTATGTTACTTGCAGAGCTGATGAACTGATTAGATTTTTGGGGTCATGAGGTAAAGGTCAAGGTCATGCGGCTCATTATGTATGCAAAAATAGCTTGTGATCGTATTATCATTAGAACAGATTGATGGATTCCTGCCAAACTTAGATCATTTATGTATCTTGCAGAGCCAATGAATGGTTCATAAGATCAAAGGTCATGGGCTCATTATGTATGCAAAAATAGCTTGTGGACGCATTCTCATTAGAACTGACAGATGGATTACTATTTAACTCAGGAAATCTTGCAGAGCCAATGAACTGAGTAGATTTTAGGGTCATGAGGTCAAAGATCAAAGGGTCATATATGTATATGAGAAATTGCTTGTAATCACGATATTCTGAGAACATGTTAATGGATTACAATTGAACTTGAATTTGAAAAATTTCTTCCGTTTCGGTTTGTAAAATTGCTCTATGACGTGACGGAGGCATCATTTTCGACTGCGCGCAGTCGAATTCCATCTAGTTCCCTCTGAATTACTTGTTTTCATTTAAAATAAAGATCATTCTTTTCTCTCATTTCCATCTCTGCTCGAGTCTCTATAAAAGTTCAAGAAATATCATTTAATTTTTTCTAAAAAGTATACCTGCAAGATCCTGCTGTCATGTGTGGATCCTGGCCATTTCACTACAGCATTCGAGATTCTGTAGTCTGGTGTGTACACCAGTTGGACATTCATCGAGTACCTCCCTTTTCTGCAGGCGCGGATCTACGGGGGGGGGTTTAGGGGGTTTAACCCCCCCCCCCCCCCTTGGGCGGCCAAAAAAAAAAAAAAAAAAAAAAAAAAAAAAAAAAGAAAGAAAAAAGAACGCACGCTGGAGAGAAACCCTTTCAAGTGCAAATATTGTGAGAAGATATTCAACTCATCTGGTAACTTAACCAAACACATGATAACTCTGGATATAACTGTGTATTTACTGTTACTTGATTTAAAAAGATGTTATCATATGCACTGCTTTTTATGGTCTCCATTGTGTTAATAGATGCCAGGAAAACATCACTTACGGAGTTCAAATAAACACCCCAAAAAAAATCCGCATCGTCATTATTTTGGTCAAACCCCCCCCCCCCCCCCCCTTAGCAAAAAGCTAGATCCGCTCCTGTACTCACCCAACTACTCTTGGAAACCCAGCAATAGCCTGGAATGCTGCTTGAGTACGCTCAACATCAGCTTGACTCTGAGGGAATTTGATCACCTTCAAGACAAGAAAAGAGTGTTCATAATAACCAATAATAATAATGAAAACCATCTTAAAATGAGGTATATAAAGTATACTATAGGCCTAATTAAAAACTTTACAGGTTCGCATAATCATGCATTTCAATTACATTTGGTAATTGGTATAATATAAATTGTGATGGAAATACTTTTCAATCCCTTGTTTTATATGGAAAGGGACAGTGCACAAACAAGCTTCTTTTTTTTTGTACTGGGTGGATATATTGGTATGATAAAGACATTTTTTTGTTTTTTGTTTTTTATGCCTCCGCCACCGAAGGTGGTGCCGGAGGCATCATGTTTTCGGGTTGTCCGTCCGTACGTCCGTCCGTACGTCCGTCCCGTTTGACCGTTATCACAATATCTCAAGAACCATTTAAGATTTAAACTTAAGACTCGGGAATAGTATTTATCACCATAGGAAGACGATCTGATTAGATTTTGGAGTACGTAGGTCAAAGGTCACAGGTCACAGAGGTCAACTTATGAAATTCCTTGTATTGAGTTTGTTAGCGCGATATCTCAAGAACCATTTGAGATTTAAACTTCAAACTTAAGGATAGTATGTATCACCATAGGAAGACGATCTGATTAGATTTTGGAGCACGTAGGTCAAAGGTCAAGGGTCACAGAGGTCAACTTATGAAATTCCATACATTGAGATTGTTATCATGATATCTCATTAAGAACCACTGGAGATTTAAACTTCAAACTTAGTGATAGTGTGTATCACTATAGGAAAACAATCTGATTACATTTTGGAGCACGTAGGTCAAAGGTCAAGGGTCATAGAGGTCAACTTATGAAATTCCATACATTGAGATTGTTATCATGATATCTCAAGAACCACTGGAGATGTAAAAACTTCAAACTTAAGGATAGTATGTATCACCATAGGAAGACGATCTGATTAGATTTTGGAGCACGTAGGTCAAAGGTCAATTAGGGTCACAGAGGTCAACTTATAAAATTCCATACATTGAGATTGTTATAATATCTCAAGAACCACTGGAGATTTAAACTTCAAACTTAATGATAGTGTGTATCACCATAGGAAGACAATCTGATTAGATTTTGGAGCACGTAGGTCAAAGGTCAAGGGTCACAGAGGTCAACTTATGAAATTCCATACATTGAGATTGTTATCATGATATCTCAAGAACCACTGGAGATTTAAACTCCAAACTTGTTTAAATTGCTCTATGGCGGAGGCATCATTTTCGACTGCGCGCAGTCAAAATTCCATCTAGTTTTGTTTTGTTTTGTTTTGTTTTGTTTTTTTGTTTTTGTTTTTTGGGGGGTGGGGTTAATAACTATTTGCCACCTACCCCCCCCCCCCCCCCAACACATATTTGAATGAAATATTTAGGTAGTGCAATGTTGCAATATGTACTTGATTCAACAGAATTTTAAGACCCCTTCAATAAAGGGAGTGGGGTGTGATTTCACTTTGATGAAAAAATTAATCCAACAATTAGCAACAACAACAAAAACAAACACCATCACCTAGGTTTCCACTTTGTTTTTCTTCACTTTGATTTATTTTTTGAATTTCAATTCCAAATTCAAAGACCTCGATCAAGCCCTTTGGACGCGTGCCTGATTTGTTCCCATTAGAACTCAAACTCAGTACAAGGTGAGAGAGAGAGAAATATTAAAAAAGAACGAGAGAGAGAGAGAGAGAGAGAGGGGTGGGGAGTGCTATATAGTGGAGCTAGATTGGCATGGCGGGATCGGAAAGAGAAGGAGAGATCGAGCGACGCGACGCGACGTAGGTAAGCTAGCTAGCTGCCCCTGTCTTAATTATCCATGACAAAGCCTAAGTTTGCCTTAAGTTTTAATTTATAGCAATGGTTTCATTAGAGCCGATTGTAGTGACAATTCAGTGTTAAATTAGTAAGCTTAGCTGGCCTGCGGTAGCCAGTAGTCGGTGCAGTACTAGGTCAAGCAGCATATCGCCGAGCTGAGCCGAGCCGCTCCCATGCCAGCCCTCTAGCCGGGCAGCTCGCAGGGCCTGGAGCGCGCGCCGAGCAGGCATGAAGCGCAGCTCGCTCGCTCATCGTCGATCGTCTGTCTGTGTAATTCATTAGTCTAATCTTTATGTTTTGGGGAGAATTTTCATATAACCAGACAACAGGCTACAATCCTAGATGAATGCCTATAGTTATAGCCTAGCTAAGTTTGTCTAGATTTGAGTGTGTAGGCCTAGATCTAACTAAGGCTAGACTCGACTAGACTCTGGTTGGTAGATCTAGAATCTAGTTGTACTTTTTGAGTGCATGCATGTTGCCATGACGACTGTGCTATACTGGTTTAATGTGTACTGGCAGTGTCAAACAATATACCTCTAGGCTAGTCTAGGCCTATACAAAAGAGTCTCAAATGCAGAGGTTGTTTAAAAATGAGTTCAAAAAGTATTATTACCTTGCTCTTCAGAGTGATGCAGATGGCTCTGGATACTTTGTTGATTGTTGCGGATGCAGTTGCCCTGCTGATTCTGTGGACAGTACTGGGAGAATCCAGTACTGCCCCTGTGGCGTAAAAGTTAAGTGCCACACATAACTGCTGCAAAACAAATAAGCTGCAATTCCTTGCTGTCGGATGGCTCAATGCAGGGGCAAGTTGATCCACGAGACGGAGTAGACCCGCCCTAGTGAACCTGTACTTCCTCCAGAATGATCTCTTTTCATCTCTAGAAGGAGTGTTTGATTTCTGTCTATCCAAACTATGTAATTGCAGATCATTTCATGAGATGGTAAGAACGGGACAAATGGCAAGGGGCAACCCTTGCCATTTCTGTCGTCCTTAACATCTCATGAAAAGATCTATGGCATGGGTTCCCCCTTGCCATTTCTCCCGTTCTTAACATCTCATGAAATGATCTCTTTTCATCTCTAGAAGGAGTATATGATCTCTGTCTATCCAAAGTATGTCATTGCAGATCATTTCATGAGATGTTAAGAACGGGACAAATGGCAAGGGGGGACCCTTGCCATTTGTGTCGTCCTTAACATCTCATGAAAAGATCTATGGCAAGGGTACTCTATCTAACGTACACCTTTATCGGTTATTTGGGGACTGTATATAAATATAAATAATAACAAACAAGTCAACGGCGAGCTCAGCAACAGTTATAAGCATCTGTTGTCATATACTAGTAGCTTTTTACTATACGTAGTAGCGCGCTCGGTGACTCAACGCTAGTTTGATCGCTTTTGTCCGGCTTGCCAGATTCTATTGTTCTGGCGCGGATTAAGGCTGCCTAACTTGACCTACTCAAAGTATCGGCATGGCATAGGCTATGTGTGTAAAGGGAGGGAGTGATTTGTTTAATAATGTTAAATTTGTCTATTGTTCAATGTTTGATGAATGTTCTGTAAATATATGGAGTAAAGCATATGACGTCAAAAATGTCTTAGCATGCTGCCCGACACGTCCAAGGCATAGGTCGCACGCTATTAATGGCACGCCTTAATTTTTCCATGCCACACGCATCCGCGGGCTTGTTTCACTCGATCAACTGATTACTTCATGCATGTCCAAATTATCTGTTTGTTTTTATTTCTGCATTTTCCAAATTGTCCAAATTATAATTACAATACATGGGTCAAAGGTTCCCCTTTGGTCTTCGACACCTCCCCCCCCCCCCCTCTCTCTCTCTCTCTTTCTCTCCCTTTCAAACGTGCCTTCCATCATACAGTCAGACCGCAGCCGGTGCGAAAACCCTCTATTTTATTCAGCACGTATGCAAGAATTTACGTGTCTTGCATACGTAATGAGTAGTGCAGACGGTCTTCCCGATCGGCAGTTTTTGCCTTTATAATTGTTCATTTCTCATGAAATGGGTCTTATTTCAAAGATAAGAAGTTGCACTCTCTATATACTTATATGACGATCATGTTTAATATATTTTGGAAACAGATATTTCGCCTTGAAAATGGGGTTTTTCGACGATAAATCTATCTAAAGAGTAGGGCTGATTTTCACATAGAAATCATTCTTGCGTCAAGAAGATGTTATAATCAGCATAAAGCATAAATATTTTTCTTTACAATGATATCAAAATTATTATATTTTACGCTGTACCAAAGTCAGGAACCAAGAAAAATCACACGAATGTTCATGAATAATTAAAAAAAGTAGTCAACTTTGCCGATGTGATAATAGAGCGTTCTGATTGGCCAAATACGTCAACTACGTCACATATGTTCCGCTTTGGTTTATTAACATTCTAAATACCAAATTTGAGTAAGCATTCCTTGTGGCGTGCGCCTGTAATGCACGTGCGCGCAAGCAGTCATGACAACAATCTGAGGACCCTGGATCAATTACGTCTCCTGCCTTTCAAATAATATTTTTCTACATTATTTCTTTTTTAATCATTTTTCTTAATTTTTTTCGGCCAGTCGGTGGCGCGGCGGAGCTCCCTGGAGTTTAATAATCAGTTATGCATTGCCATTGCTCAAACGGCGAGC